AAGTCGAATTCACGGACGGTACAACCAGTTGTCAGTCAACCAACCCTAGCCTACTGCTTCACGAAACAATCAAAAATGGGCAACCAAATATGAGAAGATGTATCACCGAAGAAGTGACCTCGGAATCGAATGTCCATGGCGCAAAAAGGGATACTTACGCGCGGAAGTCGAGCTTCAGATCAGATGGTTGAAATCGAATAAGGCCGCCGGAACAAGTAGACTTCCCAAAGCCCTCTTCAAATTCGAGGTCTCTTATGAATGCATTGTATAACTTACCACTGAAGCTGCGGGAACAAGAGACTGTCCCAACAGAGTAGGGTCGCTCCGTCATAGTCCCAATTTTCAAGAAAAGCTCATGTTCGAAATGCGGAAATTATGGGGGAATCAGTCTGAGTTCTACTGCCTCTAAGTTACTCGTCTATGACTGGTACACGTGGAAGCCAGATGCGCGAGTATCAAGCCCGGTTTCGCCGCAGTCGCAGCTGTATTAAATATATCTTCACATTACGTTAATTAGTAGAGCACCACCATATTTATTAGCGATTCACCGTTGTCGTGTTTTTCGAGATCGAAGATGCCTTCGATTCGGCTGATCGATGTGCCCTTTAAGATTGTCTGCTCAAGGAAGGTGTGTCAGATAAGTTTGTAAACGTCATGAGAGCGATGCACGCGCATAGTGAGGGTTTATGGCTAACTATCGCAACCCTTCAATACCTCCAGCGGTGTGAAACAAGGTTGCCGCTGTCACCTTTTCTATGTAACTATGCTTTCTACGAAATCATAGAAAATGCGTTTATTGGACACCACCTAGGTGTAGAGTTGCTCCCTGGCGAGCGACTTAGAGTATGTCGACAAGAATACCTTAAATTGCGACGGCTCCTAAACGTGCCAACAGTCCTGGACAGATTAGCACTGGCTGTCAGTGGTTTCCGACATTGCTTTGCACCCTCCAAATGCGAAGTCCTTCTCAAAGATTGATAGGGACGTACATCTACGCTGACCCTTGGTGGTGATCAGTCGTCGAGAAATTCAAGTATCTAGCCAGCTATATCAGCGCCAGCGGAATAGAAGATGCGATCACAAAACAATAGAGAAAGTTTGAGGCAATTTGTCAATCTCCGTCACTAGCAGCACCAACACGACCTCACTCTTGCCCAGAAGGGCAGAGTTTAAAATGTAGCCGTCCGTTCCACCCTAATGTACGCTTGCGAAACTAGGTCCATCAGGTCAGCAGACCTAAAGAGGTTAGTCAAGGTCGATCATCGCTGTTTTCGGAGCTTAGCTTACATGTGATGTGAACACTGCATGAACAATAAGTGTACACGACTTCGCGTATTTGGTGCGGGAGGAGTGAGTGAACCGGTCAACTTACTTAGAACATACGCCAGGCTCCGATGACTGGGCCACGTGTTGCGCAAACGAGCAACATCGACTCTCCCATCGTGCGCGACCATGATGCAGATAGAAGGAGAGGTTAGGCTAAGCGATGGCTTGGTCAAGAAGTATGAAGGCCCCCCACTATGAACTTGGCGTCGGTTGGTGTCTTCACACTGCCGGGCTGGGGACCGAAGGACGATGAACATGTCTAGTTCGACACACTAGTTTACATGGCAAGGATCCGATCACAATGGCGTTTGTGTTGTGAGTCTCTTTGTTCCGCCCCATCCCGCTTAGTCTCCCCTTCCTGCTATGATCTCATTTCTTAGGCATAATATGATTTTTTTCGTTTTCGGCCCAACAGCCGATTGATATGTTTTTGTACCATGCAAACAAACAAACAAATAAATTTTATTCTCGATATGCTCGAGGCACGCCTCGATAGGTATGATCATAAATGCACTTTATATTATGCGCTGAGAACCAGATCGTGATTGAAGAAGGAAGTTAGGCAGGATAGGGCAGAGTAAAGCAACTCACAACACACACCATTGGAACCGGTTTTCCATCAGGCCGATAAGTGTACTCTAGCAAACGTGTTTATAGTTTTTGAGACCTCAACCAAAAAGTAGGCAGACTCCAAAGGAGTCCAACTTCGTAGTGCAGGGACTTCAAACCTCTTGAAGAGGTCATCGTTTGGCCTATCCTTGTCTTTCTTCATCCAAATCCCGGTTGCGGGAGTCGGTGAGCCAGAATACGTAACACATTACATATACGCTAACGGTGGACATTAAAGATGGTGTCGGAATGGTAACCCTGCAAGATTACCTGAATAGCACCCACAAGGTACAGCGAAATCGTTGCAACAACGATAAAAAGAAAAAAACGCAGAAGTTTCGAAGAGGAGCTTGCAACTGCCGCAAAAACTGCTCCCAAGAGGATCTTCGCATACGTGAAGCGGCGTCTGAGGCCTGCAGCCAATGTCCCAGTGTTAGAAGGCTCAGATGGACAGCCCCTAACCTCGAGTACAAATCGTGCGTCCGCGTTGGCGGCGCACTTCACCTCCGTACTTGCAAGTGACCAGGTGTCTGTAACGAGTTCGACGAGTACCGCTCCCGCTGAACTTGACAGCCTGGACAGCAGTATTGAGGATGTACGTAAGCTTCTAGCAAATCTTGACGGGACGAAGCCTGCTGGGCCAGATGGAATCCATCCACTGATCCTCAAGTCCCTATCGGCCCTAATCGCGCCTTCTGTAACTGAACTGTTCAACAGGTCACTATCCACTGGATTATTACCGGATGACTGGAAATGCTCAGTCGTAAAGCCCATACAGAAAGGTTGTAACCCAAGCAAAGTGGATAACTACCGGCCGATCTGCCTGACCGATGTTTTGACAAAGACGCTCGAGAAGAAGAGCCTACTGCAACTTCTCGAGTCGAAAAGCCTGTTGACCCCCGCACAGCATGGTTTCATGAAAGGTCGCTCGTGCATCACCAACCTACTGTTGACGAGGCACGAACGGTTACAAGCGCTGAACCAAGACCAATCAGTCGACATCATTTACGTTGACTTCAACAAGGCTTTTGACAAGGTAAATCATGCAGTGCTCCTTGACAGGCTGAGAATGTGCGGTGTTAGTGGTTCGCTGCACCAATTGATCAGGAATTTCCTTATTGATCTAAAGTGGAGGGTCCAGGTGGACAACCATCTAACCGACTGGTATCCATAGAGCAGCGGCGTGCCCTAAGGCACTGAACTCGGGCCGATTTTGTTTCTGATCCATGTAAACGATGTGCCGCAACTACTCTAATCACCTTGTGCGTTGTTCGCAGATGACTTGAAGGTGTGGAGAGTAATCCGAAAATCCAATGATTGTGATTTACTTCAGAAGGATCTCGATCGCCTCTCAAGGTGGTCTGCAGAGGTCAACCTTCCGATCAACCCTGCTAAGTCGCAATTCTTGAGGTTGGGTAAGTGTGAGCACAGCCGAACGTACACAGTGGCTGGTCAACCGTTCCATCCCGCGTCTTTCGTGCGCGACCTCGGTGTGCTCTCACGCTGCGACCTAAAGTCCATTGACAACACGAATAGGCTGTACCAAAACAGCTTACGGATGCTTTGTGCGCTCAGGCGAAGCTTCAGCACTTGCTCCGAAGAGATTGCCACTCGCCTCTTCGTCTCAATAATACGACCAATGCTAGAGTACGGCTCTCCCGCGTATTGTCCCATCATCCGGGCCGAGGTAGAAAAGCTTAAGCGAGTGCAGAATGTAGCCACCAGGCTGATTCCCAAGTTACGAGGTGTGCCATAAGAAGACCGGTGTAAGAAACTAGGGCTGTACACCCTAGCTTATCGTCGACTGAGGGTTGACCTCATCATGACGCACCGGATATTACATCTGAGTGATTACCCCATGTTGAGACAACTGCTTCATCTGCGCACACCAAGCTGCACGCGAGGACACCGGTAGAAACTTGTCGTACTGGATTTGAAGCGGGTCGCTCACCATGTTTCGAACGCAGAGTGGTGAATGTATGGAAGGACCTGCCGCAGCATATAGTAGAGGCGAACTCCGTGTCGGAATCTAAGAAGCTCCTTGACAAACACTTTGCAGACACAAAATATACAGAGCGGAACACAACATAAGGAGTATATGTCCAAAAGCGACGAATGATGCAGCTACACAGAGAAAGCTCTACTCGCTGCTTCGAACTAGCAATCAGTAATCAATGTGAGGAACTTGACGACGGAAGCAATGGGACTGCCTTCCACAAAGTAAATATCTTTAACATTCTTATTTGCTTGTTTGTAAATTGCGATGTTCTACGCAAAAAATAAAATGTCGCTGGTTTGAAAAATGCCCGATTCAAATTTTGCGTAGATCATGAGATTTGGATGAGTGGTAGTTCGATAAACATAAATAAGCCATAGTACAAATACAGTATGGCAAAGTGTAGCGGATCCGCAGTGACAATGGCCTTCTTATCCCTTACGCTTCACTAGGTAACCAGTTGTCAATTGGTCTAGAACGTCCTAGATATTCACAATCCTTGACTGCTATAGGACACATACATCATTCGGCAGCACCCGAATGTTTTGCTTTATCGCCAAACATACTGTTACTTCACAGAACTGCTCATCTATCGATAGATTTGTGGGTTAATTAGCGTTTGACCACCGCAAAAGACGTAATACCGCATAAAAATCCTTCGGACGGAATACATCAGTACGGTGAGTCAGAGCTCAGGTACTCGCTTAGGGATGTTACCGGTGGAGGGGAGGAGAATCACCGATATACCTTAAGTCTCGTAAAAACGAAGGTTTTGGTATTGTTGTCAAGTTCGACTGAATGATCAAGCAGACATTCCTGAAACACTACATGTGCTTTTGCAATGCGCCGCAGAAACGAATTCCAAAAACCGAGTCACAAATGCCATGCAAGAAGTAGCACAACATCCGCACGTGTCGTGAGCAACCAACAGATGTAAAATAGAGTGCTGTTTGGAATGCTAGTTGTCACGAATACGCAAACGGAAGAAACGGGTTCGGCATGGTTGATTCGTTCAACCCGGCCTGGAGGAAAGAGACAATACGAAGTAATAGATAGGGGAGTAACTTACCGGTTTGTCTTTCATAGTCGGGGACGATACACACCAATAGTACTTCCCCTCGTCAACAATGCAGGCTCCGATCAGGCTTTGAACAGAACGCTCGTCTTGGAAGAGTAGGAAGCAGTACCCTAAATGAAAAACCCGCAGTAAAGAGGTTTCATTTAAGATATGTGGGGTAGGAATGAAATTGCCTGTACGAAAATGTAATGCTTGTGGTAAAAAAAATTACACGGGGTAGCTGAGGAATACTGACCAGAATCTCGCGATGGCGCCATACCAGAGAGTCTGACACAACAAATTGACCACACAACATATACACAAACGAAAGATGACAAGACATCCGGTGGTGCGCACAAGCCCATCGTCAGAAGAGAACACCGGTCATCTGAGTTTTTGGGTGTACTCGTTCGTCTCTATTGTCCTAAAGGTTTTAAGTTTCTTCGGAATGCCCTTGTATCGGCTGGTGACCGGTCGGTATAAGGCGTCTACTTTGTGAGCCCCAGTTCACGGACTCTAGAATGCGTAGGTGCGGGCGACTTCGTAGTATCTACAGTCTGTGCAGGGCTGGGAGTGGTCGCGTTTCAGCGAACCGACGGTGCGACGTACCGATGTGCTGATGACGCAATTCTTCGAGTACATGAAAGTACGGTAGTTTTCTTGCTTTCGAAAGAGTACGTCAATGACTTCACTACATCCATCGGCTCGAAGAAACCGTAAGGAATAGTAATTCAGTTTAGCTCAGCATCAGTTAAAACAACCATTGCCCGTGAACTGTAGCTAGTTTCCGCGATTCGTGTCGCTAGAATAATAACAAATAATAATTATGAAAAGCTGGTTAAGTGCTAAAAGAATGTGAAAAAATGGAATCAGAACAGAAGTGCACAAAACAAATTGGGATGAAAAATTAGGAGCCAGATGGAAGAAACCGAAAGCAAGAACGCCACTGACTGCGCGCATGTGCCCCTTGTGGACAAATGTGAAGCCCCTGTGCAGGAAAACGGCATGCACCAGCCTCACTAACTCGTTTTGTCAATTTCCTCATGCTTTTATGCCATGTCCTCCCGCTGGTTACTTTGCGGTTTCGCTTAACTTAGCGCAGAAGCAGTGTCTAATGCAGTCAGAACACCAGAGTCTCTTGTCAAAAACCAACTGACGGACCAAAGCATTGCTCACCGGGGGGTTCGCAACAAACGTGAACAACACACCGCAAGCAGCGGTGATCAAACACGACCAAACGTCTAATGTCGTAGATCCATACAATAAGACCGGCCTTATGGCAGCGTTGTACACCCAAACTTGCACTGGCAGACTGGTTTCCCGCCGTCTCCATAGATAGTTTAGCCTTTGGAAAACCAGTCGCATCTTTCCGATACACGAAGTAACCTCAGTGATGAGACCACCACGAGTGACACAGTCACAAACGTAAGTGAACCGATCCACCACTTCCAGTGGTTGTTCGGTGATGGCTAGAAACGGTGGCTCTGCAACAACGAGTTGCATTTTGGAGGTGCATAGCACATGCTGAAGTCAGCAGCGCTACGCGTCAGTTTATCCAGGAATGTCTGAATAGTCACTGCGTCAGACCCAGGGAGAGCTAAGTCGTCCGCATATTCAAGGTTTGTCAGTCGGTCACCAGGCAAAACTGTTACTCCTGTAGAGTCTGAAAGAAAAGTCATTTATGATCATTTCGATTAGGAGAATGTAAAGGAAAGGAGATATAGGACAACCTTGGAGAATCTCACTTGTCGTGAGAAACTCAGGAGTCAGTTTTCCGTAGACCTTTACACGGCCTCGGGAGTCACGGTAGAGACTGTATATAATGGAAAGGAATTCAGCCGACACAGTCTTCATGGATAGACAGTGCCACAAGCTCGCACGATCAGCAGAGTCTAGGGTGGCTTTCAGGTCAGGGAAACCACCGCAGTCGGTCGTTTGCAAGTGTCTCTGCTTTAATAATTGGAGAAGAGTAAATATGCGGTCAAGATAAGTACGAACAAAGCGCAAGCTTTCAGTGATTCGGCTCTCACAAGGCCGTGTCGTCGAAGTATGATACCAGTGAGAAGTTTGGATGCAATGGAAACTATACGAGACGAGATTGGACAGCTCATGCACAACTTGCCAAAACGCTTGGAGCATTGGGCTGAGCACCTTGAAAGGCAATTTAATAGGTCGGAATTGTCAGATTTCTCACCGGCAAGTGATCGCCCTCGCGCTCAGAAGTCGAAATTCAAAGCGCAATGCTGAAGTTAAATAAAGCCGCCGGACCAGGTGATCTCCATACAACTCTCTTCAAATTCGGGGGACCTGCACTTGTGAATGATTTAGACGAGTTACTAGTGAAACTGTGAGAGCAGGAAACTGTCCCTACCGACTGGAGCCGCTCCGTCATAGTCCCAATTTTCAAGGGAGGCTCACGATAGGAATGCGGCAACCATAGAGGAATCAGCCTAATCTCCACCGCCTCCAAATTGTTTGCCTCTGTCATCCTACACAGACTGACTGGCACTCGTGAAAGCCAGATTCGTGAACAGCAAGGCGGGTTTTGTCGGGGTCGTGGCTACATCGACCATATCTTCACTTTGCGTCAGTGGTTGGAGCAACGTCACATATATTGGCGGTCCACCGTTGTCGTGTTCCTCGATAGCGAAGGTGCATTCGATTCGGTGGATAGACGTGTCCTTTTGGACTATATAGTCAAGAAAGGTGTGCCTGAGAAATAGGTAAATATTATACGAGCATTATATGCGCGTAGCTCAGACAGAGTGAGGGCTTACGGCCAGCTGTCGTCACCCTTCAATATCTCCAGCGGTGTAAGACAAGAGTGACCGCTGTCACCTTTCCTCTTCAACTTCGCTATTGACGAAGTCATGGAAATCGCATTCACAGGACATAACTTAGGTGTGTATCTGCTACCAGATGAACGACTGCTTGACTTGGAATATGCTGACGATATTGCCCTAATCTGTGAAAGCACACCAACGTGCCAAGCTACATTGGAAAGATTAATACAGGCTATCAGTCGCTTTGGGCTTTGCTTCGCACCCCCGAAGTGCAGTGTTCCTCCAAGATTGGTCTGGACCGCCTCCTTCACTGACCCTTGGTGGGGATCAGCTAGAAGTCTCAAAAATTCAACTACCCGGAAAGTTGTACCAGCGCCCGGGGATTGAAGATGAGATCACGAACCGTAGAGCAAAAGCTCAAGGCGCTTTCGCTAACCTTCGCCACTTATGGCGCCGGTGCGACATCACTCTCGCCCTGAAGGGTAGAGTGTACAATACAGCGGTCCGTTCGACCTTACTGTATGGCTGCGAAACCCGACCATAAAGAGGGTAGTTACGTTCGATCATCGGTGTCTTAGCAATGTGGTTCACATCTCGTGGGAACACCGCGTGAGCAACGAGTGTGTTCGACGCCTTGTTTATGGCACAGAAAAAGGAAATGAACCGCTCAGCACCGTTATTTCACGCACCAGGCTCCGATGGCTGGGCCACGTGTTACGCATGGCAGTACACCGGCTCCCGCTCACCGGGGGTGTGGATGGAAGAAGAGGGGGTGGACAAGCGATGGCTTGGTCGAGGGGAATGAAGGCCCAAACTTCGAAGCTGGCTTCGGTTGGAGCGTCCCGGCTCCCTGGTTGGGGTCGGAAAGACGATGTACGATACATTGCTGACATGGCTAGGAGGGGACCTCAATGGCATTCGTGCTGTGAGTTTTTTGTCTGTCCCATCCCTCTTAGTCTCCCCCACTAAGCACGATCTCACTAGTTAGCCTTATATCATTTTGCTCAGTAATTTTTGTTGTTGCATAGTAGCCGGCTGGTAGCATATCGGAAAGATGTCCACCTGTTACCGGTAGCTCAGCTGGCTTGCATCTGTTGCATATTTTTCCGTCCTTTTCTTCTATGTATTGCGGCACAGTAGCTGAAGTGCTTCGCAGCTTTAGCTAACGTGTATAATGATGATGATGAATGGAAATAAAGCTAATGCCTCTGTGATTATCGCACAAAAAGCGTTGGGCGCAGGGCAGTTGACAGTCGTCAGTCTGAAGAAATCTCTTCAGTGTTCCAAATTGTGTTAAAAAGAAATGCATGTAAAGACACCATCATCATTCAGTAAAGATGGAGGGCCTTCGGTTACAGGAGTCTTGTTTCGCTTCAACACGGCGAACCCATGCCGAATCACTACCAAAGTGTGAAGTGTGACATATACTTCACATGTCGGCTCAGGTGATTCGGCAAGCGTGTGTCGCAGCAGGCGTGCTGAAATAATAATCAAAATGCTCCGCCCAATGGGTCACTCGACGAGGTTGAGGATGGGGCAACTGCCCATCATCCCAAGCTACTTTTCCACCAACGAAGTGTTTTACTGGACCCGTGTTCCGGGTGAGCCGAAGCAACGTCATCATTACACATTAGCTGAAGGTGAAAAGACACTGTCGTGCCGCAATGCAAAAAGAAATACGAAAAAGGTAGAAATTCATCAAGTCTAGACGCAGGCGGACAGCCATCACAAGTTCGTAAAAGCACTGTACAGCCATTTCCACCTTCTGAGAATCGGCAGACGGAGTGACAACAGTCGAGCTGTGGGTTCGAGCCCTACAAGTGTCAAATGGAATGTGCATTGCTGAGGATTCCCCAAAGGATGAAACGACCGTACGGTACTTTTCCGGGGGTGCGATGGATTTCTGACTGAGTCTAGATGTGATGAATTGCTACCTATACCATTCGGAATGATTTGGTATATTGGTAGCTCGGGAGGCTTGCTCAGTTGTTGTGGAGTTCTCCGAGCTGGGCAACTTGGTTGGCTGGTTTGCAACCAAGTTGCCCAGCTCGCATGCAACTCCCCCTACTACTAATCCACCATAATATACGAAATGATAGCTAAACAGTATAGAATGGAAAAAGCAGGCAACACTGCTTCAAGAGATCGTGGTTGGAGGGGGAAAAGAAGCGAGATGGAGGGACAAAGAAACTCACAACAGAGGAACTGAGGCGGTATGCGGTTGCTCTAAATGACATTAGCTTTCTACTCTAAATGATACTCTTCGAAGTTCTGTTAGGTCTTGAACGGCCTGCCCGCAGGAAAATTGCGCTGTCTGAGAATCAAGTCGAGCTGGCGTCATTGAGTCA